TGCTGATCGGCGCCGTGTGGGGAGCCATGGACTGGCATTCAGGTGCTAGAGCTGTGGTTTCCATCGAGAAGGTGGAAGGTGGGGTGGCACTGGCTGTTGTGCTGGCTTGCCGCACCCCCGTGGTTTTGGTGGTGAGGCCGGAGCTTTTGCCTCACTGCCATGTGTCGCGAGTTGTGGTTGTTCGCAACTTTCAGGTTGCATGGTGCCATGGACGAGTTCGCTTCATCCTGGACACGCCTTCGGCGTTGGGTGAGCCTATGGTGATTTTCCAGCCACATCTGGATTGTGCTACTCCCATTTCCACTGTGGAGCTCTTCAGCGGTTTGGGAGGTTGGCATGAGGGCATGCGTGTTGCTCAGAAGTGCACTCGAGCTTTGATCGATTTTGATCATCAGGTTTCGGCGGCCATGGCTCATCGGTTGAAGACTGATGTGTTGTCCCCTTCAGCCTTTTATGGAAAGGCTGTTGCTGGTTCGGTTGGAGGGCCTGCTGTGGTATGCGCCAGCGTCTCTGACAAGCTGGTGGTGCAAGGCATTGGTTTGCTCAACACGGTTGTGGCCTTGGCTTCTCCTCCGTGTCAACCATGGAGTGCTAGTGGCAATGGCGAGGGTCTTGCTGGGCCCAATGGCCAGGCCTTTCGCCAGCTTTTTGCAGATGGAGCTGACCTTGGGCTTTGGGCCCTTGCTGTCGAAAATGTGCCGGGCATTGTGAAACACAAGGACTTCGCTGCTCTCAAGGCTTATGCGGCGGAGCAGGGCTTCCATTTGGCATGTGAGAGTTTGGTCAATGTTGACAGTGTCCATCCTATCTCGAGAGAACGATGGATTGCAGTCTGGTGCAGGAGAGACAAACTGGCTGATGCTGATAGTCTCAGAATCGCCGGCCAAATGTGTTGGAAGCAGCCTTTTGTTGCTGAGCCTACTTTTCAGTTGAGCCTTGCCACTGAAAATGCTGCGCTTCGGCGCCTTTCGAGTGCTGACCTTAGTTTCCTTATCCCTGATGCTGAGGCCCTTGAGTTCCTTGGGAGACCTGATTTGCTCCCTTCTCGAGATGGGGGTGGTAAGTTTTTCCATCCTTCGCAGGTCATCAAAGCCAGAACTCGTTTGCTGACGCAGCCCATTGTTGCTGCCATGGCATCTTATGGGAAACAACATAAGCTACCAATTCAGCTTTTGATGCGTAAGGGCCTGACTACTCACCTCCTTGAGGTTGATGGACATGTGAGGTACTATCATCCTTTTGAGGTTCTTGCTGCCATGGGTTTTCCCCCGGAAACTGTTTTGGCTAAGGATTTCTTTGATGCGCATCGTCAGGCTGGTAATGCACTGACCATCGGACATGCAGTTTTAGGCATTGCTAAGGTGGATGCTGTCCTGGGATCACTGTCCCCTTTTCGTCCGATGCATGATTTGTCCGAACTGGCTTTGAAGATTGAGCAGCATCGCACTGGGCTTTCAGCCTTCCAAGTCACTGTCCAGGGTGACTTCATGGTTTTGACACCTGTTGATGAGCTCGAGAGTTTTGTGCCGACTCCATCCAAGAGGCCACGGGTTGAGGACTCTACCGTCATCCCACCGACAGTGCCCTTTGGTGTCCTTGAGCCCGCTGCAACATCAGCCTTGCCTTTTGAGCCGGAGTTTGTGATGGCCCATCAGCTGGAACTGTCTGCGGGTTCTGTGGGCCATACATGCAGTGGTGGCATTATTTTCTTGGCGCATAAAGAGGGCCATTGGATGATGATTTGTCATGGGGCACCTCGTGAGTCTCTGTCTGCATTTGTGCAGCGGGGTTTGCCGCATGCCAAGCGTGAGCATTTCATTGCTTTTTGGGATGACTGTACTGAAGCTTTTTGGGATGATGAGATCTTGGCTTGCCCGGCCAAGAAAATCACCTTTGAGCCCGTCAAGTACTCCGTGAAGTGTTCCTATGATGAAAACAATGGCTGCACTTTTCGAGCTGATGTGACATCCACAGTGCGAGGTGCTATTGCGGCCACGGCCACAGCCATTCAATGCAATCCGGAGTCCCTTGCTCTGTTGCACAATGATACACCGTTGAAGTATGATGATTTCCTTTCTGAACTTGAGGTGGGTGCTTTGCAGATCAAGTTTCGCATGATCAGCCCTGCTCACAGTACTCCCCAGATTGGTCAAGGTCAGGAAGATCAGGGCTTGAGGCCTGTTGATTGCTCTTGTGCTAGGGTTTTTGCACGACATCCCAACAGGAAAGTCCTTCGTTCTGGGATGGTCACGATGAAGGACACTTGTGCTGAGGCCGTGAGGATTCTGATGCCTGATGTTGCTGCAGCTGTCTCTTGGAGAATTGTCGTCAAGGGCCGCTATCTCGATGAACAGACGCCCATTGAGATCCTGTTGCGTGATCAGATTTCCAGCTTCGAGATTGAATGGGACACTATGGCTCCCTGGCGAGTGACATGTGTGAACCTGATGACCTCCCACTATGCCTTGGGATCATCTTTGTACCATCAGCTCCATCCAGGGGTCGCCTGCATTCAGAGATGGATCAAATCGCCATGTCGAGGCAAGGCTGAGGTTGTGTCCCTGCCAGGTGATGTTGCCATCGGCCAACTGGCTGCCAGCTACCTGGCCCATACTCGAATCAATACTTCCGTCCTATGTCTGTTAGGGGGCTCTGTTGCCGACCCTCTCATGGCTTTTCAGGATGTTCCTGAGCTGGAGGTCATTGCTTTCCGCCTGTGTCCTCTTCGTGGGGGTGCCAAGAAGGGGCCTTTGGATGATGCTCTCAGTGCTGCTTTGGAGGGTCATGGTGTCCCACGTGATCAGCTTCAGTCACGCCTCAAGCTCTTCAAGGACCGTTGTGACATTGGCGACCTCAAGGACTGCTTGGATGATGACAGCAAGTTGTGGTCCCGCATGAAGAGTCTGGCCAATGATGGGCGTGTCCGCCTTGTCACGGCTGCTGAACTCAATGAATGGAAGAAGAAGAACAATGGGGGTGTCAAACCCAACAGCAAGCCACCATCTCAGGCTGCCAATCGACCAGCTAAGCGTGGCAGAGTTCAGGAGCAAGAGATTTCCCCTGATGGGATTGAGGTCTCCCCTACTCATTTCGTTGTTGATGGTGAGGCTCCAGGCTTTTTGCATCGTGACCGTTTTGGCACTGATGAGGAGGGACTTTGCATCATGTCCGCTCATGAAACTCGCATTTGCCTTCAGCAGAAGATCCGTTCAAGTGGTGGTCTGGCTATCCTGGTCGTTGGCAAGCAGGCCAACACCTTTGATAATTGCATCACAGTTCCTGCCCACTGGAAGAAGACTGGTGAGCCGCTTGTCCTTCGATCTGCTCTGGTCAACTTTGGGGATAAGAGCATTGAGTTTCAGCCGCAGGTTCCTGTTCTGGAAGTGCCCCAAGTCGTGGCCACGGTGGTTGAATTTTGCATCCTCCGCAAGCACACGGCCTCCTGGTCTGAGACAGCTCTGCCTTTGAACTACCTGGGTAAGCATGTCACGGTGCTTCGGGGCCCCAATCTTCTGAGTTATTGGGCTCTCAAGACCTTCGGTGATGATCGCAAGCCAGCGGCTCATTCGAAAGCAACGTCATGGCGGGGTTTCTTCAAGGTCGCTGACACTCTGCTTGACAATGTACTGGCTAAATCAGGTATTGCTGGCATCTTCATGACTCCCAAGGGTGATGACCACAAGGCTGATGCCCGTTATGTCCCAATTCCTATCACGACTGGGACCTTGGATGATGCTTGGAACAAAAGTGTGGGGTGTGAACATGCACTTGGTGTTGCTCTGTGGGGTGATCGCTTTGCTGTTCGTTGTCGGCGAGAACATGCTGACCAAGTCAGAAAAGTCATAGCTCCTGATGCTGCCTACATTGATTGCCCAGCAGTCGATCCTCAGGCTGATTTGTATGTCCTCCGACATGTGCCTGGGCAGCCTTCTCGTGATCAGTTGTCACAAGCTTTGGTCGCTTCTGGCTGGGAGGCTCAGGTCATTCGACCACAAGGTCAGGCTACTTGGATCGTAGCGGCCAAGAATCCGCCCAAGACTCAGCACGTTGGCCTCAACGGTAGCCTGGTCATCATTGAACCTTTGAGGAAAGCTAAGAGCCCTTCCTTGACCTTGGTTGCCCGCCATGTGCAAATGGGCGTTCAGATGCAGTTTGATGAATCTGGTCGAGTGGCTCAGGCCAGTGCGGTCTCTCGTATGGCTGAAGTCAAGTGCGAGATTCAGGCTCAGATTGCAGCTGAGGTTGGTGCTCAGCTTCGCCAGGCTCATGATAAGATGGACAAGCTCAATGATACAGTCCTGGCTCTTCAGAAGGCCAATGAGGATAAGATCAATGCAACTGCTCAGAGTGTCGAGCACATGCGTGAGGAGGCCTCCTTCACCAAGCAGAAGTTGCATGAGTTGGAGAAATCCAATGCAGCTACTACCCAAACATTGGTTGCATCCATGGAGCGCTTGATGGGACAAATGGAGAAGAACATGAACTCCAAGCTCGACACCATCAAAAGTGATGTCGTTGGTCGGCTCGCTGAAGTTGAAGAGAGCGTGGGCATGGGAAAGCGTGCCCGCAAGGAGACTGATGGTGCACTGTGACGGTGGGGGCATGGCCGCCATTCACACGGGGTTCGTCCTTCAGGGCGGCCTTTTGCCCGATCCTCGATTTGGATGAGACTTTGGATGATTCTGGGTTTTTTCTTGCGTTACAGTGACGCTTGTGCTCAGCAGTTGTCCAACACAGTGCTGAATTTGATGCCCAATTTGACATGCTCGCCTTCTACCTTCGAGCATTCTTATGCCAATTCATTGCAGTATTCGGAATTCTTGTGGTTTGACGATTTTTGTGCTGGTGATTGTTCTTCCAACTCTGCTGCCTGCTATGGGCGGTGTGTGCGGAAGACTTTGATACATGACACTTTCTTTGGTCCTGTTCGGATTGGGGAGGCCTTGCATCCTGGACCTTTGACTATTGGTTCCTTCAATCCTACTCAGCTTTGGGGGCACATGCCCACTATACAGCAATGGGGCCCGGGAATCTGGGGGGCCAGTGAGACTTCTGCCACTTCCGAGGCACTGACAAGCCTTCGTGCTGACTGTCGAAAAGCTGGCCTCTTTTTTCGTTCCAGTGATCCAGTTCAGCATTTGGGCTCCAGTGGTGGCTTTCGTGGGCGTGCTGGTGGTACGGCTCTGATTTCAGCTTGGCCCATCAGGCCATATCCACAGTCTTTGCCTGATGCTGTGGCAACTTCGACTCGTTTTTGTGACGGAGTCTGCTCCTTAGGTTTTGGCTTGGACATCTATGTGGCAGTCCTTTATGGTCCGACCAAGCATCGCTCACATGAGAATCCTTGGGCTTTGCTACAAGAGATCATGCAGACAGCTGTCCAGCGAGCTGCTGTTTACAGAGGCCCGGCCATCATCATGGGAGATTTCAATGTTGACATCGCTGAGCTCCCTCATTGGCCTATGCTTGTACGAATGGGATGGCGTGATTTGGCGGATCACTCTTGCCAACTCTTAGGGGGTGAGCCTGGTTATACTTCTTGGAACTCCAATGGTGCAGCCCGGAAGTCTTTCATCCTTGGAAATGATCAGGCGGCTGCAGCAATGACCCTTTGTCAAACGTGCAAGCTCCACACTTTTGCTGCGCATCCTGTGCTGGAAGCGCACTTCGACCTCGATGTACTGGTGCGTGATCGTATTGTGTGGCATCTGCCAAGGGATTCCTCATCTTTGCTCATTGATCCGGACACTTTTGACAGTGCTTGTGAGGATTCTTGCAAGAAGCGTTGTGGCAAATTTGGACGTGCCATTGCTGCACATTCCCCGGCCGATGCCCTGCATTGTTTTGCAGTTGCTTTTGATGAGGCTCTTGCTCAAAGCAGTGTGACTCCGACAGGCGAACCTCGCCCTGTTTCTCGTTCGTACCTTGGGCGATGTCGTGGCCCGCTCTTTCGCAGAATTCGAGCGGTGGGACCTGTGGTTGCTCGGGCCAGGGAGGGTGAGTACCAATGCTCGGTGCTCCAGCCAGACCGTGATCTGCGTTTGAAGGTCAAGCAAGTTCGCCGCCTTTCCAGTCTTTTGGGTTTGATGGCTAATCTGGAGAAACTACATTCCCGGACTTCAGCTGCCATTTGTGAGGAGCTTTGGGTGGCTATTCGAGCTGCGAATGGGTTTCCTGGAGGATTTCCACAGTGGTCGCTCCGGCACTTGAGGATTTTTCTCCCTACTCCTTTGCCGAGCCGCCCTTTCGTTTCTGAGATTCTTGCTGAACTTTCCACTCTTGTGCGGACTCAAGAGCAGCAGGTCCGACTTCAGGAATGCCGAAAGTTTGCTTCCGCTATGGTTTTTGACTGCAATAAAGGTGGCAAAAGAGCTTTTGGTTCCATTCGGGAGTATCAATCCCCACCTTTGTTTGCCTTTGCTCATACCAGCGCCATTCAGGTTTGTCGTCAAAGATGGCCTAAAACTGGTCTTTTGCGGGTTCGATGCCAGGGTGATTTGACCTGTTTTCGTGCCGGGCTCCCGGTTTCTTTTCAGGATCAACAGGTGTTTCTTCGCTCAATTGATGCGCCTTTCCTTCTTTTGGATGCACCACTGAAGCTGCGTACTCAGGAGCTTGTCATTACGCAGAAACACTATACGGTCGATGTTCAATCGATGATTCAAGAGGCTGGGGATGCTTGGTCTGCTTTTTGGGGTCGTGATGATCCTGAGGATGACGAGCAGTGGGATCAAGCCTGCCGCTTTGTGACTTGTTTGGAGGATTGCCCTAGCTGTCCTTATCAAGATTTCACTGAGGATTCTTGGCGTGACATGCTTCGAGGTGTGAAGTCTGGAAGTGCTCGTGGTAGTGACGGGTTCACTGCTGGTGATCTTCGCTCCATGCATGGGACTATCCTCCAATGGCTGTTTCAGATATTCAGGCTCGCTGAAGCTGGTGTGGGCTGGCCGGCTCGCTTGTTGCAAGCCAAGGTCACCCTACTTGCCAAGAGCGATGAAGTTCCACTGGATCCTTTGGCCACGAGGCCGATTACAGTCCTCAGCCGCCTCTACCGTTGCTGGTCCCGTTTCCGCTCCCTGCAGGTACTGGCATACTTGCGCACTTTGATGCCTGCATCCATTGCGGGTGGATTGGCCGGTTCGAGTGCAGATATGTTGGCAGCTTTTACTCTCTGCACGCTCGAGGATGCCCGTATGGCCAATGTTGAGAGATGCGGAGCAGTTCTGGATATCATCAAATGCTATAATGCGGTGCCCCGCTGGCCGCTCATTGCACTGTTGGCTCGCATTGGGCTTCCTCGTGAATATGTGGTTGCCTTTGCGGAGGCACTCCGGCACCTCGTTCGTCATTTGGAGATCTTGGGTCAGACCTCACCTGACGGTGTACCCAGCAGTACAGGGATACCAGAGGGCTGCGCTTTTGCGGTGGCTTGCATGGCCTCTATTTCCTTTCTTGCTTCGAGAGTTGTCCAAGCTGATGATTCCACTGTTGAGGCGGCTTTTTATGCTGATAACTGGGGCGTCATTGCCGACAGTGTCCCCGAACTGCATGCTGCACTACAGAAGTTGACCACTATGTTGGCGGCTTGGCGTATGGACCTTTCCGTGCCCAAAAGCTGGCTATGGGGATCCCATGGCTCTACAAGGAAAGATCTTGAGTCCCTGCAGATTGATGGTCAACTTTTTCCGGTCCTACGTGCTGGAGCTGACCTTGGTTGTGACATGGCATATACTGGCAAAGTCTCCAAGAAAGTGACGCGCAAGCGCTGGGGCAAAGCTAAGTCATGCCTTGCTAAACTGCGCAACAAGCGCTATCTGCCACGCTCCTTCAAGGTGACCATGGCCCGATCAGCTGGCCTTGGGAAGGCCCTTTATGGGGCGGAGCTTGTCCATACAACGAATCTACAGTGGAAGGAACTTCGTGGGCCCATTGGACGCTCTATGGGGTATGTTGGCTCTGGTGGATCCACCTTATTGGCCCTTGCAGTTTTCGATCCAGATCTTGATCCCCAATTTGCCAACTTGGTCAGAACATTGCGCTTTTGGCGCCGGTTCATGCGCATTTTCCCAGGTATGCGTACAAGCTTTCTTGACCACTTGGTGATTTCTGCTGCCTCCGGCAAATCTGGACCGGCTCAAGCGCTTCGCAAGACCTTCTTGGCTGTTGGCATTACACCGCTTGCTGAGGGCTTTTTGGTGCTGGAATCAGGCCTTCGTGTGGCTTGGTTGCATGACAGCTGGGGCGCCTTGCACAGTTTCCTGACTGTGGCATGGAGGCAGCATGTTTGTAGAGCTCTTGCACATCGCCGGGATTTCGACTTGTCATCCTTTGACCCCGAGCCTTGTTTGGCTAGCCTCAAAGACATGACTCCCCAGGAGCAGGGAATCTTGCGCACTGTCGTTGGTGGGAAAAATATCACCCATGAAGTCTTGACTCGTTATGCAGCCCAAGTCAAATCTGACCGTTGCCCATCCTGTTCTTCACGTGATGGTCGTGATCACCGGATTCTTGAATGTGATGGTCATGCTCGTGTTCGCACTGACTGTGCTTTGACACTTCGGTGGCTCCGCCAGCGGCCGATGGCGACGCTGCACTATGGCTTGTGCCCTGCAGTTGACGACCTTTGGCTGTGGAAGCAGGAAGCGTGTGGTGATTTTCCAGCCCTTCAGTTGCCTTCGCCCTCGACGAGTGGTCAGGTGTACACTGACGGAAGCTGTTTCTTCAATACACAGCGTACGTTTGCTATTGCTGGCTTTGCAGTTCGACGTGTGGCTGGGAAGAAAAGTTTTCTCGTGGCTAAGGGGCTTGTCCCTGGCATTGATCAAACCCCATATCGGGGAGAGGCTATGGCTGTGCTCTGGGCGCTTCAGAACTTTTCCCGCCTTGACCTTTTCGCTGACTGCGAGGCAGTCTTGTTTCGCTTCCGGAAGCTCCTGTCTCGGAGGCTATCTCTTGATGCCTATGTCTATGAGGGTCATGATGACATTTGGACACGTATTTGGTGGCACGTTTTGCAGCGCCCTCCGGACTCGATAGTGACTCATAAGGTCAAGGCTCACGTCCGATGGCAGTCGGTTTCGGACCCTGTATTACGTGATGAAGCTCGCCTGAATGGTTTGGTCGATGCTGATGCCAAATCGGCTATCCAGGACCATCCCAGTGGGATTTTTAGACGCTTGGAGAAGGCGTCTCAACAGCATGCCCACCTTTGTGCTGGTGTTCGGGCTATTCATCGTTTTTGGGCCACTAGCTGCAAGCAGTCTTTGGCTGAACAGCCCTCCGAGCGTCATTTGCAGGGCTGGCAACTTCCTGATCCTGCCCTTTTGATTCCTGATGGTGAGGTGGTGGCTTTGGTCCCCTTCGATGTCGATGCTCTGATGGCTCAAGGGTTCCCTTTCGGTCGCCTTTTCTGTCAGAGGTTGTGTACATGGTGGAATAATTTGACTTGGTGCCAGCACTCCGAGCCTATTTCCATTTTAGAACTGTATGCAGATTTTTCTTTGCAGACCAGGTCGACTACACCTGTTCGGACGTCAAAGAAGCCTTTACGCTGGGAATTGCGAGACCAGTCGGTCGCTGCTGATCTTGCTTCGAAGACTTTGGGAGCTCAGCTCCGTATTTGGGGCCTTGTGCTGAAGTGGTTGTTTGAGGTTCAACCTGAGGGTTTTCCTTCCGCCTGGATTCCTCGATGTTCCTCCATGCTGATTTTTGGCTACAAACGCTATTTCAGTGGCTTCAACTGCAGGCCCAAGCTGGCATATTCCAGTCTCGCGGCTCTCTGGCACTACCTTCACCCTCCAGAGGGCAATCTTCATCAGTTGACACGTCTTTGGCCACCAGCTTCGAAAGCTGCGCTTGGCGGCGCATAGGACTTTAGGATTGTCTGTGGCCCTCACGTTTCCTGGGGGGTCCCAGCGCCACCTAATACGGGTGTGCACCACGTCGCAAAGCCGCAAAACCCATTGGTTGGGAATCGCCCTTGGTAAAAAGAATGCACGCCCATTGGTTGAGTAAGAGATGGCACAAACAACCTAACAGGTGCTCCAAAAAAGGGCTCAACAAAAAGCTGCCCCACAGGATTCCAACCAACAGCAATACGGTCGCACTAATTAGAGTAGAGTTCTTGCGGAACAACCATACGCAGTTTTTTGCAAATTTCACACTACAATAGAACCAGGTCCACAATTAAAAAACAAAATCTATGCCCCCCCCCCCCCAATTCAATTCGAAATTGGTGTATCTATCATGTGCTGTGACCGTCTTTGGAAGCTATGAAATGGAGGGTTCCGAGGATGCACAGCTACTAAGGAACCAAAGCTTCACGCCTTTGTAGGGGCGGGTCCAGGTTTAATAATGATGCCCTTCATGCCATCGCATCCGCGATATCAACCGCCATGCTCCGATCCCTGGGCGAGCATCGACCGATGAACCCGAGGTCGAGGCTCAACATCTCCAGCTTGCCGAAGGCCCAGGCCGTGTTGGCCAGCCTCAGGTGTGAAATCCATCCAGGAAGATGAAACTCCATGAGCTGACGACTAGTAACAAGAAGTTACTAGGTTGGAGGCCATCGCTACTAGCAACAGGAAGCTATTAGTAGCTCGTTTGAAAAAGAATCCATGAACCAACTTCTTCGAGTTTGCGCGTGGGACATCCAAGATGGATCGATTGACCTCTTCTACCACACTGTCCCACCTGTTCAATCCGTCACCCCCAAAAAGGGTGGTTTTTATCCACCTGTTCTGGCATGTGTCGCCCCATGTGTCCATCTCCATGCAACTCGACTGTGGAGGTGACATCTGTCCATCTCAACCGAGGTTGGAATGGGATCCTTTGAGCCGCGCGTCGAACCCCGCGTTCCAATGCGAGTGCCGCATCCGAGGCGTTCCCAACGCGCAATCCGAGCGTAGTTTTTATATTCCAATAACTATTATATAGCCACTATAATGAGCTTCCTCTGGTTCTGACAAACAGCGGATCTACCCTGGATTCGTCCATCAGTCCATCAGCAGCCATTTTTCGAACCATCCAACCGCGGAGGTGGGAGGACCAGCTGCTCAGCGATGCGCGTTCCAGCTGACCTCATTTGGAGAACACCTCGCAGTCTGTGGCACCCTGCAGCTATTTTTGGCGGAGATGGGCAGATCCATGAAAGATTGGTGGATCATGGCGGATCCAAAGACTTCAGCAGAATCTGGAGCTATCTGTGCAGGGTGCCGAGTTGGCGCAGGCCTCCAGTGACGTTCTTCCTGCACCAGCAGTAGGCCCTATACACTCTGTAGGTCTTGGAATGGCCATCCTGCCATCGCGAACCACTGTACGAACCGTTGGGGACATGGTGTGCTGTCCATTCTCTGTTGGTGGGCAGCCAGGCAAAGGGGACGGTGATAAAGAATGAAAGATGAGCGGATGAGAACGAGGCACCTGATGGAGCTATCAGTTTGCCGATCCCCTTGGCCCATGTTCAAAGTGTCCGGCCCACCCCAAACTGGGGTTCTCAAATGCGCCGGCAAGGATAAGAATCAGGCCGCAAGCAACTCCTCTCAGCTTGGAGAACAACAAAGCATCATCGAACATGTAAGACTAAGCAATCAAGAAAAGACCAACCACTCACTTCAACAGCCTACCCATTGAAATCAACAAACAAAACAGCACGCAAACCATTTTATATAAATCATTGTTTAAACACAACCGACTTGTGCATCTCTTGTCCCCCGAAGCATCTTGCCTGCAAATATCACATAAAGTAGGGGTCTGCTGCAGTTGTTCACTCAAAAACTTTACTGCACTTGTATACTTACCCAGGTGAGAGAGCAACCACCAGTGACATTTGGAAGCAAAGTGACCCAGTCGGGCTCGCCAAGCAAAGAGGCCTGCTACCTGGCCTCCGAAATGGGATTGTCCATATAGATTCGGCCATGCAGCCCTTGAAACATGGACGTGCAAACTGTACAGGCTCAAACTCCTCTGAATCACAGGCGAAGTGAGAATAGCACCAGCCCGGCACAGCGGGAACCTTCACCTGTACCAGGCACAGCTTTCACATGTCCTATGGGGGGCATCTACTCACCCCTAGGGTCCAGGTACCTCCTTTTCGGATGTTTTTCTTAACAATAAAGACGCTTTCAGAGAATGGTATTTGGGGCCTTGCAGGACATCCGATTCGGCTGGTCGGGAATCGAGGATGCACCCAAAACCATCGAGAAAATACAAGTCAAACTGTGTCAGTGTCAAAACTATGTCAGAATGTAACCGTCCCCCATGACCCTATATATATATATATACTGTGTTCAGGTCATGGAACATATGAAAAAACATGCAAAATCAAACTGTTGGTGTTGGGGCACCTATCTTCACGTCATCCTAGGTATATCCTAGGTTCTACTGCGGCGAGCTGAGATATAAGACTGCAATGGTCTGCAAATTGTGATCGTTTTCAGAAATGGCAAACCAGGATGCCGACCGGTTGCCCCACCTGAAATGTGAAGCTACAGCTACATTTACATCGTGGACCAGGGCTCCAGGTTTTGACCCATCCCCAAATCCACAGCCCAAACATGTTCTGCCTGATGCATTATGGCTTGGTGGGCCATGCCCATTCACTGACATTCACACCACTGGTCCTTGAAAGTCAGTGGGACCTCTTCGAAGACGCAGTCCTTCCACACGGTGCCCTTCGTGGGGCCGACTCAGTCCCCTGGATGGAGTCCTTTGGACCATGAAATCCGAATACCAAAGGTGGTGAACTCTACGAAGCCAGAGTTTTTCAAAAGGAAATGCAGAGTTTTTCAAAAGGAAAAACCCTCAACCATCTGCTCAGGGCGCTCAGGGCGCTCCCAGCTGCTCCCATGCACATGTGAACCCCGGGCCTAGACGTGACTGGTAGCATCCACTGCCAGGTAGGACGGCTTCAAAAGCCCACGTTGCACCGCCAGCTGCGCCGCGGAATGTAAACAGGTCCCGTCCGATTGACGATCACAGCGGTGGATCACGCACCCCCGATGTGACGAAAGGAGTGTATATCAGTACCTATATCTATCGTATATATTTATATAGATAAATAAATACGGATATATATATATATAGAGATCTGGGAGGGGATCCAACAAGCACCAGCCACCAACTATATATTTGCAACGCATTTTCTGTCTCTCAAATGAAGAACAGGGCCGTGCACACGCTCAAACCTTCACCATCGGCATGATTGGTGCCCGTTCGATTTCGTGACAGTGGTCGTACCGACCAGGCACCATCCAAGGGGTGTCCTGGCTGGAGATGCAAGGGGTGTCCTGGCTTAGTCCATCGGGGCTCCAACTCGCAGAATCCCCACTCAGCGCGGTGTCCTTCCTTCAGCTTTCCCCTCCCACCGCAGGACCTGCCAAGCACCCCGGGTCTAGGCTGCCTTGACCAGGTTCCCCGTGCACTCGCGGATGTCTGGGAAGTCAAGGACCTGAAGCAGAACGAGCCTCGTTTTCTTGCGCTGAAACTTAGCCAATAAATGCATTAATCTTAATCTTAAGATAATAGTGTTATTGTTTAGTTACCCTATGTTTGTGTATGTAAAGTGCATGTGTTTATATATATATATGTGTGTGTGTCCACCCCTGGACAAAGGGTTTCCACCGCCATTTTCCACGCCTTTCCACCAACTTTTTCAACAAGCAGGGGGATGGAGAGGACATGTGAGGCTCCATCCAACGAAGCTCCTCACATGATCCTAGGATATCGGCAAGGACGCTTGCCGACGTACCTGCAATCAACTGTTGCCCACGCTGTCCACTCCTTTGGTTTGATTCATGGTTTTTCATGTGCTCCTTCCCCTAAACAGGTTTCCCACTGCAGCTTTCAGCCGCCTGTGCATTGCAGCCAGCCGCGCGAGTGAAACATTTTTTCAACAATTCAAGTCTTTGGACCTGTTCGCCTTGCTGTTCCATCACCTTCCTTCCCAACGTGGTAACTGAGTCACTGAATACAAGTGTCAGAGTGTGTTTCGCTCAGCCGTCCCACTCGGGTGCTGAGTGTGATCCCCGTCACAGGGGCGCCGATCTTGCATGGGAAAGCAACCACCCCAACGCACCACCACTCACTGGACTCTCACAGGAAGGCACTGACACCCTCACCGAATCAACAGACACACCGGCCGCCGGGCCAAAAAACGGTTCTTGCAGAATACATCGGAATTCAGCTTTCAGATTTCGGATCCGTCATTTCATTCCTCCAAGTCATGTTCATGTTTCACGTTTTTTGCCATTTTTTCATGTTCATGTTTCACGTTTGATGCCGCGATTCTTTTATCGGCAGAACTCAAGGTTGGGCATGAGAGCTCTTCAGTCTAATTCGCGATGCATGAACACACACCTACCAACATGCTCACATCCAGCACCACCTTACAACATACTCTCCATCGACACCAGAGATGAGACTTTCAACAACAACATGACAATACAACTCGGCACTTCTCCGCTGCCTTTTGCTGCCGCGCCGCGCCGCGCCATAGCTACGAGCACGACATGCATTTTCCGTGGCCATACGCTCACGCCACGCCACCACCACTACCTGCCACACAACCTCAACCCACATGGCCGCTACCACAGCCATCACCTGTACCCACCTATCCCACGACACATCCATCGGCATACCCTCACCCACAACCACAACCATTTCAACCACCACCTTTTTTATCCAATCCCACAGCCACTGCACTGACCTACGGCACACCATCCACTTGGACTTATGTGCAACCATGCCACGTGCCACCGCAGCCCACACATCCAACTCCAGTATTTCCGTCAGCAGCACCTCCCCCTTCATACCTGTTGCCACCACTTCATCCCTCGCCACCGGCGGAACTTCCGCCCCCCACTACACTGAC